AGTGGACCAATATTCCCCATCATGTAAATTGATTTGAGTTTGGAAGAAAAACGGATTTTCCCTTCAAGGGTTTTTTTACGCACCACCTAAACAGACGACAACATTTGAAATTGACTCTATATTGCTTGAAACGGATATGTTCTAAAAAACATAGGATCTACAATCAATATTTTGACGAGGTACATGTTAGCCATCCATACTTATGATTAATGGGGGTATAAAAAATAATTTTTATAAATCCACGCCTGAACAGATCTCTGGATATCAATTGTAACAAAATACGAAACCAATCGATTTTATGTTTTATATTGCATATCATATACACGTATTTTAAAAAATCTCTCAAATTTAGTTTAATAACATTATATACATTTCCCCTACTATTAAGTTAACAAAAAAAAAAACATTAAAAATCCCATAATTCATATTTTAATAAAGTTTTCATATTTTTCTTTTCACATTTCGAATAGCCCCATGGTAAAGCCAAATGAATTAATATCATACTGATCCGTAATTTATTCAATATATTTACAACAAGAATAAAAAACCAAAAAAAAAATCAAAACAAGAACACTTTTCAATTAACTTGTCTATGTCACTGATACGGATCTAAGATTACAGTACCGACATGCATACATACATTCATCCATCCATCCATCCCCTTTACAATCATTTAATAACCAACAAACATGACTGCCTACATGATGGCAAATTATCGACTGTAATCTACAACAATTTTCTCACAATGTTTTTTCCATATATATTTGTTTCTTTTAGGCCAAACCAACATATGAACAACAAAAACCACAACATTTTAATCCCATTCACCAAATTCTGTTGAGGGGGTATTTAAAGTAATTTTCAAATGTTTGGAACAAAAAAAATAGAAACACCACACTAAATGCAATTAAGTTTAGATAGGCCTATGCCTAATAATAGCAATAATGGAGTAATTTTAATTACATATATAACAGTCGATTATACGTAACAACGATATACATACATATATGCGTGAATATGTAATAATTCTTTTAGCTTATATTATGCGACTATCATATATTTATTAGAATTTCAACACTTACAGTAGAGTGCGGGGAAGGTCTTCCATTTATTTTATAGTTTGTTTAAGGAACAAAAAAAATTATGTTGGCCAGCACTGAGGCCACGTTCAGGACAAAAATGTATCCTCTATGAAACCGAAATTTCACATTACATACACAGGTTACAGGTTGGAAAAAATGGACTAGGACTCGGACTTTTAACATACAATTGTTGCAGCCACAGCTACGTGAATACACGTAAACTAAGGCAGGATCGTTACATGAGGACTACGTGAAATCCAAATTGCCTACTTACAGACATATCGTTTGGAAAAAGAGACTAAAAATCATATGTTCTCTATAGAAAAATATTCAGAAACCAATTGGTTTATACACCAGTTTTCCTATAGAAAACTATTCACAGAACCTAGGCACCATTGTTTTCAAGATGCCAATTGCCAAAATATTTTTCTATAGAAAAAATGTCACTTCGGTTGAAAAAATAGCTTTTGGAAAATTAGGCAATAGGAAACGAATCACATTCATTTGATAAAAATTCACCAACCCCATGGTTTCAATTTCTTTATAGAAAAAGTGGCCACTTCGGTTGGAAACAGAGATTATTACCATGAAAATAACTACGATGGGCAGGTCTTTTATAAAATATGTTTTCTCTTAGGATGTTTGTCATCATCTGATACACCGAAATACCCACTTATAGCAATATTGGACGGAAAATCTGGAAAAATCTGAAAAAATCTGAAATACGAAAAATAGGCGGGACTTTTATGTGTATATTTATTACGTTAAGGTTTTTTCTATACTGAAAACCAGTAAGGAAAGTAGTAAAATCGGACGGAGCCGACTATATGATACCCTTCACCACTTTGTGTATATTCAACAGATGAATCCCTGCAGACTTCGCATTTCTAAAGGACCAGTAAAATGAAACTGGATCCATAAACATGCTATTCTGCAATTCATTACGCTGTGCCAAATTTCGTGCAAACCGAAAGATATTAAGGGACTTTGGTACAACATTTACCTTAAATCGGACGAAAATATATATATGGGAGCTATATCTAAATCGGAACCGATTTTCAGGAAACTTAACACACATCATTGTAGGCCTAATTCATTACGCACCATTTACATTTAATAGGACAAAAATATATATTTGAGTTTCATCTAAATCTGAACCGATTTTCAGGAAATTTAACACACATAATTCTAGCCTTTATTCAGTACGCTGTGGCAAATTTAGGGCAAATCGAAACATATATAGGGGCTTTGGTACACCATTTACATTAAATCGGACGAAAATATATATGTGAGCTATATCTAAATCTGAACCGATTTTCCGGAAACTTAATCCGCATCACTATTGACCTAATGCAGAACACTATGCCAAATTTCGTTGAAATCGAAAGATGTATAGAGACTTTGTTACACCATTTACATAAAGTCGGACGAATATATATATATATGGGAGCTATATCTAAATCTGTACTGATTTTCAGGAAACTTAACACACATCATTCTATACCTAATTCATTACGCTGTGCCAAATTTCGTGCAAATCGAAAGATATATAGGGACTTTGGTTAACCATTTACATAAAGTCGGACGAATATATATATGGGAGCTGTATCTAAATCTGTACCGATTTTCAGGAAACTTAACACACATCATTCTATACCTAATTCATTACGCTGTGCCAAATTTCGTGCAAATCGAAAGATATATAGGGACTTTGGTTAACCATTTAAATAAAATTGGACGAATATATATATGGGAGCTATATCTAAATCTGGACCGATTTTCAGGAAACTTAACACACATCATTATAGACTTAATTTAGTACACTATGCCAAATTTCGTGAAAATCGAAATATATATAGAACCTTTGGTACACCATTTACCTTAAGGGAACCCCACCCATTCTCGATTTTAATTTTTCAAGATTTTCAATGGGCTGGTAAATCAATACCAATACTTGTTAAGGTTTGTAACTTTGCACATATATGTATGAAGATTTAAAAGAGAAGAAAAATAATTTACAAAAAAATTTTGTTATTGTTTTGTTGTTGTTTTTTGTAATTTAAGAAAAGTCCTTATTTTTGATGGCGGGCATGATAACTCCTCACTGAAACATCGGAATCCGAAAATTCCAACGGTGCTAGAAAGAGTACATGTCTGGCTCTCGTATGAACTAGGATTATTGACTTCGCTCTAAAATTAACAAAATGGTGGACCTTTGAAAAAATATTTTTGGAAAATCGCCGATTTTTTACCAAAAACCAAGTTAAAATATAAGGAAGATCTTCACCGATTGGCTTTATCCTAGTTCATACGAGAGCTATACACTTCCAGAGAAACGTTGCAAAATTTGGAACCGATTGGATTATTAGTTTTTGAGTTATCGTGCCCGCCATTCGCAAAAAAATGTTTAGAGAAAATCGCGTTTAAAGTTTGAGAAGCCCTTCAGCCGTCACTTGATGCTGACACAATAAATCGGCTATATCTTCAAGAGTTCTTGAGATTTTCACTTGAAATTTTGTAGAGACATTCTTTAATCAGTGTAGATTCGAATTATATCAACAAAAATTTTGACCCCGAGAATGGGGGGTCCCCTTAAATCGGACGAATATATATATATATATATATGGGAGCTATATCTAAATCTGAACCGATTTTCAGGAAACTTAACACACATCATTCTAGACCTAATTCAGTACACTATGCCAAATTTCGTGCAAATCGAAAGATATATAGGACCTTTGGTATACCATTTACCTTAATTCGGACGAAAATATATATGGGAGCTACATCTAAATCTGGACCGATTTTCAGGAAACTCAAAACACATTATTCTAGACCTAATTCAGTACGCTGTGCCAAATTTCGTGCAAATCGAAGGATATATAGGGACTGTTTACATTAAATCGGACGAAACTTTATATGGGAACTATATCTAAATCTAAACCGATTTTCCCAATTTGGGCCAAATAAGTGACCTGTGTCAAATTTCATCCAATTCGGATCATAAATGCGACCTGTACTTTGTTTACATTTTAACATGGGCAGACAGACGGACGGACGAACATGCATAAATCGACTCAGAAAGTGATTCCAAGCATACTCACAAAATGAACCATTTGTCTATCTCGTTTCCTTTTGCCTGTTACAAACATAAGCACAAAGACATAATACCCTGTACCACAGTGTAATGTAGGGTAGCATCAAAGTGCAAACACTTCGATGGGAAAATTCGGGTGGGACAACGAAAATACCTAAAATTGAGCGGGATTTTTATACTGGTGATCTTTATTTTAAATTTTCCGCAAAGAAGTTTTCGATGACTCCGCAAATTCTATCTGTGAAGTCTTGTGTCTATAGGCTGTTGGCGTATAAATTAACTTTCTCTGTTGTCAATTGTCAAATAGACTCGGAAAATTTTCCAATTAAAGAGCAAATGTCCTTGACTTGTGGATCATACTGTGCCATCCATATCCAACCATTAATAATCTCTCGATATCGAAATCTATTCACCGTAACTGTCGACAGCATCTCCTTTTCGATAATAACCCACACAAAACAGTCGAAAGTTGAGGATGGAGAGGTCTATCAAAAAGCACCAAATGTGGTAATTTTTCTTGTACCCACCGGGGGGTAAATTTACCACATCACATCCGGACAATTTTCATGAATTTCAAAGTGACACCTACGAGAATACGGCATAATTCAAAATAACATATTTTGTTCAATATTGATGGCAGATCTGAAAAATATGTAGTCTTCAGGCGGTACATGCACTAGGGATTACTTCCCAAAATAAATAACATTTATTACTGGTCAACTTCATTTTTCTTCATATTCGTGTAAGGGTGGAGTCACTTAATTGCATGGCATTACGCTCGTCGCTCATTCGTTCGCTCGATAGCTTACTTACTTACTTACTTGCCGACTGCTTGGCTGGTCATTCATGCTGTGTTCTCATGTTGCGAAAAGTGCACTGTGAACTCCAGTTGTTGTTGGTAATTAATCTTGAGTATAACTTCAACTTCGACTTTTTTGCGATTATAGAAAATTGTAACCAAGTCTGAAGTCAAAATATCATATAATTCAATATTTGCTAAACTGCAATGTTGTGTTTCGTTTTTATCCCCGCCATTCAATTAAAAGGTTTTCATTTTTCATTACATCGAAATTTTTAATCACAACTAATAATTATAATTTCCATTTTAATGACATCGGGGCAGCACTGCGGTGGTGGGGGTGATGTTTGTGGAGTGCTGGCGATTGCATAAGGGAAAACGTGAGTTTACTCTTTTTTTCTGTACCGACAATGAATTAATAAACATAATCTGAAACAGCTTGTGGTCGTTTTGATTATGCCAATCGTTGTGTTTTTTCTTTGAAAATAAAATATAACAAAAAAACAACAACAGATATACTAATTCATATTTTCAATTAAAACTCGACTGTTTACGTTTTAATTAAAAATCGGACAAATTAAATTCCCAGAAAAAGCACAGGATTTGTGATAACTGTGGAAATAATTTATTAGAATTTTCAAGTAATTGATGAGATAACATTTATTTTTTATGGATTTAGCTGCAAATATAACATTTCTGACAATAAATTTTGCTAGGATATTGAAAATGTTGTGATTATAAAGCAATGAATGGCTTTAACAACGATATTTTGAATAGTTTTGTATTTTTTGGCTCTAGGGACAGCTTTGGGAAGTCGTATTTATGTGTACGATAAGTGCTAAATGGCACTAGATTTGGTACAATTTGGGTTTGGGTGAAGGGAGAGAATTGGAAACCTAAAATTTGGATAATGGTTACTGTTGCAGTGTATGAAATTTGACAAAATTTGGATTTCGATGAACAGTTAGACGTGAAATTCTTAAATTTGGACTTTCGATTACCATTTGAAAGCAGAATTGAGTTATTATTATTATTTTTTTTTTTTTTTTTTTTGAAATTCGTACTTACGAGTACTAACAAGTGAAAAAGAGTTAAGTTCGGCCGGGCCGAACTTGGATGTCAAGTACTTGAAATGAAAATAAAGGGAACATACCATAAAGTCACGTTTCTACAAACTGATTATGTAAACCATAACTTCAGCAATTTTTAATGAATATTTATACCCTCAGCGTTATGGCTAATGAGGGTGTATATATATCTTGATACAGTGAAAATGTGACTCGTCAAAATATTGGTTCTAAACCCCACAATTTTTTTTTTTTTTTTTTTTTTTTTTTTGACCAAATCCATTTCAGAAAATTTTGATTTCATCCAAACATTGCCTATATTATTATTTATTTCAAACTTTGTTCAAGTTCGAAGATGGGAAATATCGATCCACTCCTTCTGGTCCCACACAGGGGCTAGGCCTGGGCCTAAATCCGGGCTATAGTTCATATATAGTACATTATCGAACCTTACGTTCTATCCTCCGCAAGTGAAATGATTACAACAGAGTCTTAGAACCAAACCCAGAACAAATCAGATAACTATTTTAATATAAAAAAGGTTATATGGGGACTACCCCACAAAGGGACGAATATTAACCAGTGAGCGGAGCAGTATAGTCGGACGGGGCCGACCACATGATACCCTACACAACTACTACGAAAAGCCTGGGCAATATTTCGTGATATTTGCACCCTTTTTACCGATTACAGATCAACAACTCCTCTTTCTAAGTCTTGCATATTTTCCAAAATGTTTTTCTTGAAGTGAGTTTTTACGCCATACAATAAAAAATTGGTCACTTTAGGTTTTGGTTGATTTGACACTCGGAAAATTGACCGATCATCATCTAAACAACCGCTCTAAGTATTTGGTCAGATCCAATTCACCTTGTAAAATATGTGATGTTCTGTATATAATAATTGCCTCTTGAGCGACTAGAAAATCTGGCAAAATTAAAGTTTTCGGTTCATTGTACGCCCTGAATGAAATCTCAACTTCACCGAAATTTATAAGCGTCGTCCTTGACCATAATCGGAACTTCATGTACAATTTCAAAGCGATCAGCGCGAGATTTCCGTCCTCTAATGGAGTAATAGTAATAATATGCACATAGTCACCTTTAATTAATTACGTATAACTGCCGCATCGGAGTACATACAGCCATATAATTGGTATCAAGAATAAAAAATTGTAATCAACATTTTTCACACAAAAGTCAGGGTCCATTTGACCCGCTAAATATTGACCGATCTTTATCAAAACAGGCATGCTTATTCTTATCCACGATCCCCTTCTCCATGGCCTCTGGACCGACCAGAAAAACCGAAAAAAATTAGTATTTGCTCCATTTCATTCCCTAAATATTAACCGATTTTTATCAAAAACAATAGGGGTCTTCATTGGCCAGAACCCATCCTACATGCTAAATTTCGTGTAGATTGGTCCATAACTGTGGCCTGTATCGTGTTTACAAATTATAATGGACAGACGGACGGACGGACACACATGTCTAGATCGACTCAGCTAGTCGAGATATGACGATCGGTATACTTAAAGGTGGGTCTAGGACCAATATTTCGCGGCGTTACAAACTTTTGTGGCTGCACAAAGCTATAATACCCTGACAACATAGTTGTGTAGGGTATAATAATTTTTGGTAGGGAGATTTGTTACCATATACGACACCAAAATGCCAAATTGCAGCAAATGCGGTTAAAAAACGCGCTCAAGAACGCCAAAATATCCAAAATTGGGGGTACCCTTATATGGGGGCTACCCAAAAAAATAGGCCTATATTCATAATTTTTTGTGGAGAGATTTGGTACCTATTAAGAACTCAAAATACTAAATAACAGCCAATTCGGTGGAAAAATACGACTAAAACCCTCGAAATACTGAAAATTATGAGGTACCGTTATATGGGGGCTACTTCAAAAAGTGGACCTATACTTATAAAGTTTTGTAGAGACATTTAGTGCCCAATAAAAACCCAATCTACCAAATTTCAGCGAATTCGGCTGAAAAACGCGCTCAAGAACCCCAAAATACCGAAAATTGGGGGGTACCCTTATATGGGGGCTACCCGAAAAAATTGACCTATATTCATAATTTTTTGTGGAGAGATTTGGTACCTATTAAGAACTCAAAATACTAAATTACAGCCAATTTGGTGGAAAAATAGGACCAAAACCCTCAAAATTCTGAAAATTAGGAGGTACTGTTATATGGGGGCTACCAGAAAAAGTGGACCTATACTTATAATTATTGGTGGAGACATTTAGTGCCCAATAAGAACCCAATGTACCAAATTTCAGCGAATTCGGTTGAAAAACACGCCCAAGAATCCCAATATACCGAAATTTGGAGGGTACCCTTATATGGGAGTTATGCCTAAACGTGGACCGATAAAGTCCATCTTCGAACTTGATCTGCCTGCAGACAAAAGACAACCCTATGCAAAATTTCAGCACCCCAACTCAATTCCTTCAGAAGATAGCGTGATTGCAACAGACGGACGGGCGTACGGACAGACATGGCTATATCGTCTGAGAATTTTACCCTGATCAAGAATATATATACTTTATAGAGTCGGAAACCAATATTTCGATGTGTTACCAACGGTATGACAAATTTAATATACCCTCCATACTATGTTGGAGGGTATAAAAAGTTCTAAATTGTTACAATCTAGACTATGGAGGAATTAAGATTACTTTTAGAGTGTAGATTCAAAAATTTGGATTGGGGTAAGGGAGATAGAGAGCTGGAACTCTAAAATTTGGTATATACTTGTACGAAATTTGGTGAAATTAGAAAAACAGTTGATATTTGGAGGTAGTTTTGAACATGTGTTCGGAAAGTGTTGAAAGGAACTAAATTTGGAACCGGTAGGAATTTGCTGAAATATATATTTGAATCTGAATAATGGAAAAAAGAAAGAGATCTCAGAAATTAGTGCATATGTGTATGAGGGGCAGTAAATGGGAATAAACTTGATATTAGGAATATAGGTGGAATTCGGAATAATAGTCCATAAACGTTTTTACGATTTCCATATAAAATATTATTCATTTTTTTATTCCCGTACCGTGTATATATATATATATATATATATAGAGAGCAATAAAGCTTTTACATTTTGCACATACATTGCTACTGCTACTTGAATTGGATACATAAATTGGATAAATAATCAATATTGGCACAAGTTTTGGGATATCCTCGATATATAAGGAATACCGACATTTCAAGGCTATCTCGAAACTTCCGAATTTTGGGTAGGTTTCTCAAAAAACTTAATCCTTAATCTCCATACTAAAATTGTTGGAATATTTGCTAAATTTTCTGGGTATATTACTTTTTGGTACGGTTTCAACTGAATTTGCTAATATTTTGTGTTCCAAGATTTGTTACTATAATATTTCTAACAAAAATTGCCGATATTGGTCCACGTGTTAAGTTAACGGCGTTTCGGAATTTTGGGTTTTGGGTGTGTTTTTCAATCGAATTGACAAAACTGTCAAAACTACGCCTGAATATTTACCATGAAGATTTTAGGTATTTGTAGAGGGTATAAGAAATTACATCCCACCGATTTCAACGACATTTTTACTTATTCTAAAAAGCTAAAAGTCACAAACATCTGACTTATTGGAGTAATTTTTTTCTATAAAAAATTAGCGACGCCTATTCGGCAAAAAAAAAGTTACTCCCCCGAAAGGTCTATTTTTTTCGGCAGAATACACACCCTACACAACTATGTTGTCAGGGTATTATAGCTTTGTGCAGCCCAAAAGTTTGTAACGCCGCGATATATTGGTCCTAGACCCACCTTCAAGTATACCGATCGTCATATCTCGACTAACTGAGTCGATCTAGACATGTGTGTCCATCCGTCCGTCTGTCTGTCCATTATAATTTGTAAACACGATACAGGCCACAGTTGTGGACCAATCTTCACGAAATTTTGCATGATTTTGGCCAATGAAGACCCCTATT